TGATATACAAAGGAAAGATGAGAAAGTCCAGGGTAATATTTGTTTGATCAAAAGAATTTTGGAAAGATATGTTTTATATGAACAGATGTGTATGTGCACATGAGATAGGTACTCTTCCCTTTAAGCCATAAATCATCCCTTCAATTACTGATCAGCTGTCCATCACGGCCAGAGGAATGCTCTTGCCTGTCAGATGTCTGTTTCATCCCTGTATAATTGGCTCCTGAGAATTTCAATATAGTGGCATTCATGACCCTGCTAGGAACTTACAGAAAGGTGAGGCATGAGGGGGACAAGCAAAATGGCACCTTCACTAAATGCTGACAAGTTGAATTTAAATTTAAAAAAATTGGCTTCTTTAGAAGATAAAAAGAAAACAAAGATTTTTATCTTTCCCTTGCTCTATGGTTCTATCAAAAGTTAAGATAGTGGGATGCCTAGGTGGCTTAGTGGTTGAATGTCTGCTTTGGGCTCAGGGCATGATCCCGGGATCCTGGAATCAAGTCCCACGTCGGGATCCCTGCATGGAGTCTGCTTCTCCCTCTGCCTGTGTCTCTGCCCTCTCTCTCTCTCTCTCTCTCTCATAAATAAATAAATAAAATCTTAAAAAAAAATAAAGGTGGGTATTTTCCTCCATTGTGTTTACTCCCTAAATTACAAAATCTCCAAGTGAGAATATCTGTTCTTGACATCTGGTCTGTGCTTAGAACAGCACAATAGTTTTGACCGTGGCTCTGGTATCATCCTGCTGGGGTTCTGACCAAAGTTCTTATTAATTGTGTGTTCTTGGGCGGGTTGCTGCATTGCTCTGAGCCCTTAGTTGAGGACTAATATTTGTGCATGTTTCACAAGGCAGTTGTTTAAAATAAACAAAATAGTGCATATGCCATGCTCAACATATTACCTAGACCCACATTAAGTTCTAAAAACATGTTAACTTAATACTATTTATTAATAGCAGTATTAGTAGTAGTATCCATATTTTGGATTGGGTTAGTGAATGGACATACAAATGGATGAAAAGCTATTGTATGACATCTTTTTACAAAAAGCTGCTCTCCTTTGATGCAGATTTCTTGTATTTTGATCTATTTTGGCAGCCTAGCTAAAAGGGTGGAGATTCCAGTTGTAAACTATACCCCCCAGGGTTATCTGAATAGAATGGTTGAAACAGAGAAAATGGCCAATAATGTTAAGAACAGAGTCCATCTAACAGAAATGACTCCAGCTGCAAGATCATCAGCCCCATAAATTATTTACGCTATTGTTGATCTAGAATTCGCTGCTACAATTTTAAAATTAATTTAGTCTAATTACCCCCACTTAATAAGATAACTTGTCAGTTATCACCACTCCCATAATCTCCTGCATTTCCGTCTCTTTTTAGCCTAAATTATCCTCTTCTAAGCTTGTTTTTAATGTATTGCAAAAAAAAAAAAAATCCTTGGAGGTATAATTAACTTTTTCATTCAGAATCCTAATTTCCTCTCCAGCTCTGTTGCTGCAGTATTTAAACTATTTATTATGCAAACTTGCAGAACTTAAACTATGAATTATGTACAAATCTCTGGATGCAAGCTCTGCCCTAATCATGGCATCTTGGTGCCTTTCTAGTTTGAGGTAAGCAAAATGTGGGCGAAATGAATGTTGCAATTTAGAAATGGGCTTACGTTTGTGACTAGGCTTTTGAAGGGTTATTCTCTATGCCAGTTATTATTTTTAAAATCATCTTTAAGCCTATAATTCCTTAACTCTTTTTTATCTATTTTATTTGTTGTTGTTGCAAATGATGGAGATTTTGGTGCAGATGTTCTTATGCAAGTCTAATGAGTACCAATAGTTTTTCGTTCATTCATTCACTCACTCATTCTTTCATTCATCGAATATTCATAGAACAACAACTTGGTGGCAACTGCACTAGGCATAGAACTGAAGCAGTAAGTGCAACGTGCTCAGTCTCAACTCCCAAGCTGCTTATACTTTAGCAGAAAACATAATCTGACTCGATAAGTGCTATGATGATGGGACATAAAGCAATGTGGAAAGACAGAAGCCAGGTATCTAAACATGCTGAGGGTGGTGGGGACAAGGAAGTATCTTGGAGCATTTGATATTAAAGGCTGAGAATAAGCTGGAGGAATTAGTTGGGAAAATGAAGGTGGGATGCATCATAGCTATGCGTGTGTGTGTGTGTGTGTGTGTGTCTAGAAGAATGAGCAGAAGGCAGACGTGTACAAGTTAGTCAGATAGAACATGGCCTATTCAAGGATTGGAAAAGAAAAAATCAATAGGGCCACAAATTCACAATTAATAGCCATATGTTTATATCTCTTACATATTAGAAAATCTATTTAACCCAAACTGCCCTCCTAGAGACAATATGGTAAAAGATCAGTAGAACGAATGCTTGAATCTAGAGTTGGTAATCTTTTTTTTTTTTTTATTATCTGGTGATACACATATAGATCAAGCTGATTATATGTGTATATATCCAGCAGCAGAAGACCTAGAAACAAAAACAAGGGATGCCTGGGTGGCTCAGCAGTTGAGCATCTGCCTTCAGCTCAGGGCATGATCCTGGGATCCGGGATCCAGTCCTGCATCAAGCTTCTTGCAGGAAGCTTGCTTCTTCCTCTCCCTGTGTCTCTGCCCGCCCCCCAACCCTGTGTGAATAAATAAATAAATAAAATCTTAAAAACAAAACAAAACAAAACAAAAAAGACTCCTGAATCTTCTTATCTGTGCATCTTCTGCAAGTTATGTAAGTTCTCTGAACTTTAGCTTCCTCACTTATTTAAGAGCATAGGTAATGGTACTAGTATCCAGTGAATAGGCAGTAAATAAAGCTATTTCTTTTGATCTTAAAGGTCACATGGGACATCTAACTCCCCACATACGGGCTCATTGCTATCTTCTACCAGTTGGTCTCTGAAATGAAGGAAGGCAAAGCATAGAATGAATAACAGATCATCCTTACGATGTTCACATGCTCAAAGTTCTCTTCTGAATGGTTTACATCTATCACATCATCTAAACTCTACAACAAGCCATGAGGCAGGCCACTCTTTTTGACTACCAAGAGATGACAAATGGAGGCATGGGGGGTTTTAAGTAATTTGCCTAAAATCAGTGCTGTATAGGTAATTTGAACTCAGGATGTCTGGGTCTGCAGCACTCCTGTTAACCACCACAAACTGTAGCTCTGTGGAGTGGAAATAAACATACAAAAGTACTTCATGGCCTATGCTAAATGGACAGTGATTGCATTTTTTTCTCATTCCAGTCCTATTGAGACCATTGACATATACATGTATGTACAATGTAATGATTTGAGTTTAAGGTGAATATTGTGATAATTTGATACACTTCTATATTGTGAAATGATTACCATAATAGGGGTAGTTAATATCTTCATCACCTTGCATAATTACCGTTCCTTTTTTATGGTAAGAACATTTAAGGTCCACCTTCTTGGGAACTTCCATGTATCAAATGCAGTATTACTACCTATAATCACCAAGTTGTACATTAGATCCCTAGAACTTATTTACCTTATAACTGGAAATTTATACCCTCTGATCAACATCTCCCCATTTCCACCATCCCTAACCCCTGGCAATCACCATGCTACTCTGTTTCTATGAGTTTGACTTTTTTAGATTTCTCATATAACTGATATCACACAGTACTTGTCTGTCTGACTTATTTCACTTAATGCCCTCGAGTTATTGTCACAAATGGCAGGATTTAAGGGCTCCTAGGTGACTCAGTCGGTTAAATATCTGCCTTTGGCTCAGGTCATGCCCTTGGGGTCCTGGGTTTGAGACCCATGTCAGACTCTCTGCTCAGCAGGGGGTCTGCTTCTCCTTCTGTGCTCTCCCTCCCTCCCTCTCTCTCAAATAAATAAATAAATAAATAAAGTCTTAAAAAATGGCAGGATTTCTCACTTTCTCATAGATGAATAATACCCAATTATATATACTTACCACAACTTCTTTATCCATTCATCTGTTGATGGGAACTTTGGTTGTTTCCATATCTTGGCTATTATGAATAATGCTATAATGAACATGGGAGTACAGATAGCTCTTTGAGATCTTGCTTTCATTTCCTTTGGATATATACCCAGAAATGGGATTGCTGGATCACATGGTACTTCTAGCTTTTTTTGAGGAACCTTCATGCTGTTTCCACAGTGTCTGTAATCACCTTAAATCCCCACCAACAGTGCATATGGGTTTCCTTGTTTCCACATCCTGGCCAATATTTGTTATCTCTTGTGTTTTTTTTTTTTATTTTATTTCAATAATAGCCATTCTAACAAGTGTGAGGTGATATCTTGTTGTGCTTTGACTTGTGTTTCACCGACAATTAGTGACGTTGAACATCTTTTCATGTACCTGAAGGCCATTGTATATCTTTTTTGGAAAAATGTCTTTTAAATTCCTCTGTCCATTTTTTTTAATTTATTTTTTTAATAAATTAATTTTTATTGGTGTTCAATTTACCAACATACAGAATAACACCCAGTGCTCATCCCGTCAAGTGTACCCCTCAGTGCCCGTCACCCATTCACCCCCACCCCCCGCCCTCCTCCCCCTCCACCACCCCTAGTTCATTTCCCAGAGTTAGAAGTCTCTATGTTCTGTCTCCCTTTCTGATATTTCTCACACATTTCTTCTCCCTTCCCTTATATTCCCTTTCACTATTATTCATATTCCCCAAATGAATGAGAACATACACTGTTTGTCCTTCTCCGGTTACTGTGGCCAAGTTCAAAAAGGGTGTTGCCTGAGTTCTCCTCTGGGATTTTGATGGAATCTTGTCTCACATTTAGATCTTTCATCCAGTTTGAGTTTATCTTTGTGTATGGTGCAAGAGAGTGGTCTAGTTTCATTCTTCTGCATGTGGATGTCCAATTTTCCCAGCACCCTTTATTGAAGAGACTGTCTTTCTTCCAATGGATAGTCTTTCCTCCTTTATCGAATATTAGTTGACCTGTGTATGAAAGGAGAGAAGGTTAGCACTCTTGACAAGGATGGAAGAGGCCCTCGGGCCTGACAACACGCATACGGTTAAGGCATTGCCACCTACCTCTGTCCATTTTTAATCAGTTCATCTATTTTGCTGTTGATTTGTATTAGCTCCTTCTATATTTTGAATGTTACTGCTTTATCAGATATACAATTTGCAAATATCTTCTCCCATTTTGTAGGTTGCCTTTTTACTTTGTTGACTATTTCTCTCTTTTTTTGTATATTTTTTATTGGAGTTCAATTTCCAACACATAGCATAACACCCATTGTTCATCCCAACAAGTGCCCTCAGTGCCCGTCACCCCATCCCCCCACCCACACCCTTCCACTACCCCTTGTTTATTTCCCAGAGTTAGGAGTCTCTCATGTTCTGTCTCCCTCTCTGATATTTCCCACTCATTTTCTCTCCTTTCCCCTATAATCCCTTTCACTATGTCTTATATTCCCTGTATCAATGAAATCATATAATGTTTGTCCTTCTCCAATTGACTTACTTCTCTCAGCATAATACCCTCCAGTTCCATCCACGTTGAAGCAAATGGTGGGTATTCATTGTTTCTAATGGCTGAGTAAATTCCATTGTATGTATATTTCTTTTGCCATGCAGAAACTTTTTTAGTTTGGTGTAATCCTACTTATTAATTTTTGCTTTTTTCAAAATGTTTGTTTGTTTGTTTGTTTGTGAAAGAGAGAGAGCACAGGTACCCATAAGCGGAGAAGGGGCAGAAGGAGAATGAATCTCAAACACACTTCCCATTGAGAATGGAGCCCAGTGTAGAGTTTGATCTCACAACCCTGAGATCATGACCTAAGCTGAAATCAAGATTTGGATGCTTAATGAACTGGGCCACCCACGTGCCCAGTTTTTTTTTTTTTCTTTTCTTTTCTTTGTTTTTTTTTTTTTTTTTCTTATCCTGTTGGTGTCATATCCAAAAATAACTTCTCCAAGACCAATGTCATGGAGGTTTCTCTCTATTTTTCTTCTAGGGGTTTTACAGTTTCAGGTCTAAAGTTTAAGTGTTAAATGCATTTTGAGTTAACTTTTGTGAGTGGTATAAGAAAAATATCCAATTTCATTCTCTGCATGTGACTATCCAGTTTTCCCAGCACCATTTATTTGTTTTTTAAGATTGTATTTATTTAGTCATGAGAGACAGAGAGAGAGAAAGAGAGAGAGAGAGAGAGGCAGAGACACAGGGAGAGGGAGAAGCAGGCTCCATGCAGGGAGCCTGACGTGGGACTTGATCCCAGTACTCCAGGATCATGCCCTGGGCTGAAGGCGGTGCTAAATCAATGAGCCACCCGGGCTGCCCCCCAGCACCATTTATTTGGAAAAAAAAAAATTATCCTTTCTCCACTGAGTATTCTTGGTTTCCTTGTTAACCATTAGTTGATCATATACATGAGGGTTTATTTTCTTGGTGCTTAATGTTGCTGCATTGGCTTATGTGTCTGTTTTTATAAAACAGCAAAATTTTTTGTTGTTGTTTTATAGAGTTTATCTATCATCTATCTATCTATCTATCTATCTATCTATCTATCTATCTATCATCTATCTATCTAACAGAGAGAGAGAGAGAGACAGAGAGAGACCACAAGCAGACAGAGCAGCAGGCAGAGAAAGAGGGAGAAGCAGGCTCCCCACTGAGCAGAAAGCCCATGCGGGGCTCCACCCCAGGATGTTGGAATCATGACCTGAGCTGAAGGCAGACCAACTGAGCCACCCAGGTGCTCCAGAAAAACTGTTTTTATTCCCATAGCTTCAAAATATAGTTTGAAGTCAGGTCATGCGAGGCCTCTAGCTTTGTTCTTTCTCAGGATTGCTTTGGCTACTTAGGGACTTTTGTGATTCTATATGAATTTTAGCCTCTTTTTGTTATTCCCAAAATGTACCCAAAGCTGAAATCTGTAGTCTCTTCCTGGTCTGCAGATTGGGGCTGGTTTTCTACCCATGTTCAGTAGCTATCTGCCAGTGCTCACTCTTGCTGCCATTGGAATTGCACACAAGGAGCCTGCCATAGTTGGTGGAGGAGTGTAGGTGAAGTGTGGGGGGCTGTGGTTGCCCTGTTGGGGGGAATCCGTGGATGAGGTCTCCCCAGTGGCTTTTGAATAGTCTTCTTGATGGAAATCACTGCACTGTGCTTTGATCCCCAAGATTCTTATTTGCTACTCTCTTAACTTCCTCCTGCTTCCCAGTCATGCGGCTCTTGACTCGATGGTGCTCTGGATGAGAGGAGAGAAAAATGGGTCATTTTTGGCAATATCCCACACAGCTAGGGAAGTCGGATGCTCATTCACAGACTCTCACTTTCCCCTGTAGAAGAATCACAGGCTGAGAAGACTTCACGTGACACTCACTGTATGCCTTTGGGGAGGAGTTAAGTGACTAAAGTTAAAATGTTCCTTACACTTTCCAATGCATCTAAGCCTGTGTTTCTTGGCTTATTATTTTTAAATTCTTCTAGCCATTATGTACTGCAAATTGTCCTCTCAAAACCTGAACTTCCACAAAGGCTCACTTGTCTATGTCAATGTTGTCCAGCAGCTCCAAGAATGCAGTAAGAGGGATCAGAGCCACTGCAGTGCCATGCAGTGTCCACAATTGGGCCAAAGTTTCCATGTCTAATACCTGATGTTCAGTTGGGCAAGATGTCTTCTTGGGTCCCTTGGTGTATGGTGCTGGATCCCATGGCTCTCACAAAGGCACTTTTGTTCTTGATGGATACCAAGTTGTTGCTGAGATAAAGATGTTACTAAGGACATCTTATTAACCATGTTGCTGATGTCACTTACAATTATTGTACTTTCCTGTAGCTTTTTATGATTTCAGAAGAGAGAGCCCAACCTGATTTTAATGGTATAGAAATCTACTGTATAATACAAAGAAAAAGGCTTATGAATATTTTTGAAAGAGAGACTATATGAATGAAGGTACAAAAGATAAAGAGGAGAACCCCAATGAGGCAGAAAACCAAATCAACTGAAAGTTATGTGACTTGTGTCTTAATTTTAATTACTTAGTGATTTGTCCCCTGTGACCTTCGGAAAGTTAGTCCCTTTGTCTAGAAACTTAGTTTGCACCACTGGAAAACAAATTGATTATTAGAACTGATCACTGAGATAACTTCCAGGGTGAATACTTTGTTCTAAAATCTCAGAATTAGTAGTCCAACAGCAAAGGTACATTCTTTCCTTTTCAAAGTGATATCCTTGAGATATAACTTGATATTGAAGAAAACATTTCTTGGCAACTTGCCTAATAACACTAAAGGCAATTAAAACAAAAGTATTTTTTCTTGAAATCACATTTTATTGCACCAGCTGTGGAGTTTATTTGTTTGCTCAAGTTCGCCCAGTTGGAGTTAATATCTCTTTCCTTTATATCCCTATTGCACTTTCTCAGTCCCTTTGTTATAACACTTATAACATTCTAGCTAATATTAAGATTGCTTGTGTACATGCCTGTCTTTCCCAATGAATTAGAGCCCCCTAAAGGCAGTGACTGCTCTTATGATCTCTCTTTCCCACTATGCCTAGCATCGTGCCCAGCATGTCATAAGGACTCAGTGAATATTCATTGACTTGAATGAACTCACGTTTCTGAAACTTGACTCCATTTAAATTTTGGAAATCATTTCAATTGCTTCTCTATTAACATATTCTTTACAATAGCAGAAATCAGCTTACATTTTATAAAAGCTATGCCACTGATTTTACTTCTGCTTAGTTGCTAAAATCTATATAAAAATAGAATAAAATTTCAAAGTGAAATCAAAAGGTAATGGCCATAATTAGACTAATCTAATTATGCAGTGGTAACAACAATTTTATAAAGTAGGTTATACGGAAAATTACATTAAAAAACATGTATGTGAATCTCAGGTTTACCTGTTGCTAGATTAAATGGTCCATATGATTGTATACTGCTCAGTTTCTATAAGGGGACCAATTTTATTAGTTACATATCATATCCTGGAAAGAAACACATACTTAAAATGAAAAGATAAGGTTTCTGATATCTGTTTCACTTTTGATGAGTGACCATGAGTGAACAAGTCAACATCCTTCATCAGTTTCCTGATCAGTAAATATAAATGGTTACATCTACCCAAATGATTACATGGTATTTAAGAGTATACAGTCTACAATTAGATTTTAAGGGTACAAAGTCCCAGTTCCACCACTGATTAGGTACACTTTTACAGTCGGGCTACTCATTCTGACATTTTATAGTAAAATATAATGCTATATTTTATTTTTCTCATCTATAAGATGTAGATAATAATAGTGCCTTCTCCAAATGGCTAGTGTAAAATCTAAACGTGGAAACTTTTATATAATGTCTACCAAGTAATAATTAATTTTGCAATAATTCATTCCATGAATAACCATATATTTTTTAAAAATTATACCTTACTGGATCATGATGAGGATCAAACAAGATAATTTATGTGAGGAATCTTAAAAGTGATAAACATTTTTAAAATGCAAAGAAGAGGAATTTCTGTTAATGACATACATACATGCAGTAAGTAATTCACCATTTTTTTCTCTTAAAAGAAATTTCTCTCTCTCATGAATAAGTTGGAAAATGTCCATTAGGGTATGTGTAGCTTTGGGAAAAAGAGAAAGGCACTTTCCAATATAAATAACAATTTGATGATAAGCATTTGAACACTTAGGAGTAATAAATTTGAGTTGTGTCTCATGATACCCAAAGAGTAAAGTCTCATGACTAGGCAAAGATGAGATACTCTAGATGGATAACATACTCAAACATGAGATGAGGTACCCATTTCCAGAACTGGTCTGGTTTACATTAAACCCCACTGTGTCTTGAACATGCTATTGCATTGAGCAGAGCTGGGGCAAACAGATATGCAGAATATGGAGAGTGTTGTATACCTCAGCTTCTGTCATAGTTATACTGGGACAGGATGTGAGGAATACCTTCCCCTTTCAATTAGAAAGACAGTGGTTAGTGAGAAATCCTGGTGGGCAGCTGACCCATCAAAACATGTGGCCCTTTAGAGAAGATTTACTTGGATTACATTAAGTGTGCCCTACATCCTGATATACGTGGGAG